CAAAATGTTTACTTTACGAATAACTTAAAGAAGAAGATACATTTTCAATTTCCGAAAATATTAAAACATGGTTGCAAACACGCTTGTAAAGAAGAATATTGACAAAATGGATTTGTCTACAGCAAAAGTGAAGACACAATCTACTGTATATACTGCACTTTATTTTTTAAGCAGGATAGAAAAAAATCTTTGAGAGCTTTTGTTAACCGTAGATATAAAGAATAGCACAATGTTTTAGAGAAACAAAAACTACATATAGGCAATAGATACCATAAAGAGACTATCGAACAAGCTAATGGCATTTGTTGTCGTTTTGAAGATCCGAGACAAACCATTCTATTTCAAAGCGATAGCACTTTAAAAAACCGACAACAAATGTACCCGTACATTGTTGAAACATTAGGTAGAATAGTGCATTTGATGGGGAAAAAAGAACTTGCATTTCGAGGAACTTTTGAAAAGTTTATGGAAAATTCAGACCAAAAAGGTAATCCTGGAAACTTTCTTGCAATTGTGCAAGAAAATTTTTTTTTTTTTTTTTTTTTTGTAGTTATTTAGGTGTTTCCAGAAGTCCTTGTGGTCTTATCATAGAGCACCGCGGGAAAGCATACCTTGCCATAACGCTGAACTTAATGCACATATACAAACACCATTACGCACAGATGCCAGCTACATTGGCTCCAAGAATTAAAATGAATTAATTGATATAATTGGAAAGAAATGTATAAAAGAGTGGGTAATTAATGAAATCAAAGCTGCAAATTACCATTCAATTTCAGCAGACGAGGTAATAACTGCAAACCAACAAATTCTAACAGTATGTTAGAATTTGTTGGTTTGCAGTTTTTACCTCGTCTGGTATGCTTTCCCGCGGTGCTCTATGATAAGACCACAAGGACTTCTGGAAACACCTAAATAACTACAAAAAAAAAAAAAAAAAAAATTTTCTTGCACAAGTAGAATTGATTTTAGTTCTTGTAGAGGCCAGTGTTACGATGAAAAAAAAAAAAAAAATTTTCTTGCACAAGTAGAATTGATTTTAGTTCTTGTAGAGGCCAGTGTTACGATGGCGCACCAAACATACAATCTTTAAAAAAAGATGTTGCCAGCTATATTTTAAAGGGATCACCAAAAGCAATTGTATCAAATTGTAGCTCACATAATTTGAATTTATCAATTGCTGCAACATCAAAAATACCAATCATTAATAACTTTTTGGAGGTATACAGATATATACCCATTTATTTTATTACCTCTCCGAAAAGAGAGCGCTTGCGGGAGCATGTTGCAGAGATCCGTTGTAAATTAACTGAAAGAAAAAAGATTTTGATAGGGATGTGCAAAACAAGATGGTCAGAAAAAGATGCCGCATATGAACACTTTTATTTAGCTATTCCATTTTTGGCAGAGGCATTAGTGATTATTTTAAGAATACACTCTAATATAGAACATGTCAATATATAATTTAGTATGACTTAGGACGTACAAGGAAAAAGAGAGGCCAATTCACTCTTTAATGTATTCACTAAGTTCGAAATCATAATTGGTATTATAACTTTGTACCGTTTATTTCACCCGTTGTCGTATATAACGGAGAGGTTACAAGGGCGCACAACTGTTATTGTGTATGCATACAGTAACATTCAAGAAACAATCGACAATTTGAACCATCTACGGAAAAATGTTGAAAAAGAAATATATACAATCTACCAACAAGCTACTCGTATGGCAAGTAAATTGTTTGTAGAACCAACGATTCCAAGAATCACTATAACATCAATACCATCATTTCAGTAATCAAAATACGATTCCAAAATCAAATTGCATTGCTACTAAGGTTTTATGCTTGGTTCTCTCGATAATTTGCAGTGAGGAGATTACTGCTTTTCCAAGATTTAGTTGAAATGTATAAAAGTGATCTTCCTAATTCAGAAGCTGTAGATTAAGAATTCGTGTTTTGGAAAAGAAAATGGTCTGTTATTAAACCTGAAGATTGGCCTTATACTCTAGCTAAAGCCATTTAAATCTGAGACAAAAATCAATATCCTAATCTCTTTGTTTCAATATCCTAATCTCTTTGGGCTTCTGATATAGAATCAAAAAAATTTAAAAATCTGATTTTTTTTAAATTATCGGCACCGGCCGATGGTTATCATGGCCGATACATCGGTGCACTAATAATTTGGAAGAAGACTTTAACTTTCCTCTGCAGAAATAAATTTATTATCTGATATTATTGATCCATTGCCACTATTGAAAGTTGCAGTTGAAACATTGTATTATGTCGTTGCTAATTTAAAGACAACCGATGTCACATTAAAACTTATGTTGGGCTAATTTTTAAACCAAAGTCTAACATTAAGTGTAGAAATAAATGGATGCATTAGTTCTTGAGATTTAAAAAAGAAACGATGTATATATTCAGATGTTCCGAATAATCTTTACAATCCACAGGAAAAGCAAAACGACTATGGTTATGACTATGGTTTATTTTACAACACAGCAAAGCAATTGGCTTTGCACATTTACAACACTGCAAAACAGTTGGGTTTGCACATTTACAACACTGCAAAGCAGTTGGCTTTGCACAGCGATTTAAACAAAATGAAGATAATACAATCGTGTTGACCCAGAAACGAATCAAATCAAAAATATTGAATCAACTTGTTTCTCCGCACAGCAGCCTTGTTCGTCAAGGTTCTTAATTTGGAGTTAAAGAGTTGAGAGAGGGTTATAACCACAAGTAACCTTCTTATCTGTAGTGGCCTTGTCGGCCTTGGGGAGGTGAACTACAAAAAAAAAAAGAAAAAAAGGTGACGTAACAACAGTATCACTTTCATGTGTTGGTGTTGTTATGAAACAAAAAAGATTGTTTCTCTCTTGTGATTTCTTTGATTGAAAGAAAAACTGCATAACATTAATAATACAAAATTAATAAAAACTCCTGAAACTTTAAATATTATCAAAATGCATTTAATAGTTTTATCTCATGAATAAAAAAAGAATTGCAATGGTTTAATAAACAACATTCTAAAAGAAAGGTTTAATAAACAACATTCTAAAAGAAAGGTTTAATAAACAACATTCTAAAAGAAAGGTTTAATAAACAACATTTTAAAAGAAAGGTTTAATAAACAACATTCTAAAAGAAAGGTTTAATAAACAACATTCTAAAAGAAAGGTTTAATAAACAACATTCTAAAAGAAAGGTTTAATAAACAACATTCTAAAAGAAAGGTTTAATAAACAACATTCTAAAAGAAAGGTTTAATGAACAACATTCTAAAAGAAAGGTTTAATGAACAACATTCTAAAAGAAAGGTTTAATAAACAACATTCTAAAAGAAAGGTTTAATGAACAACATTCTAAAAGAAAGGTTTAATAAACAACATTCTAAAAGAAAGGTTTAATAAACAACATTCTAAAAGAAAGGTTTAATGAACAACATTCTAAAAGAAAGGTTTAATAAACAACATTCTAAAAGAAAGGTTTAATGAACAACATTCTAAAAGAAAGGTTTAATGAACAACATTCTAAAAAAAAGTTTAATAAACAACATTCTAAAAGAAAGGTTTAATGAACAACATTCTAAAAGAAAGCAAGTTGAACTTATCTTTGTTAACGATAAAACCAACAAGTATTGAATCAGAGTTTTATTCCGTTGCTGGCATAACATTTAATATCAACACACGATGTTGTTTTAAAATTTTAATTTTTTGAAGAACCTTTTGGAAAAACATAACTTTATGTTTTAAATATAATATGATTATGTATAAAATGTATTTTTTAATTTATGTTATTATATATATATATATATATATATATATATAATATATATATATATATATATATATATATATATATATATATATATATATATATATATATATAATTATTAAATTAGTTTATTATAAAATTACATATTTTTGAGTTAAACATACATATTCGTATTAGTAAATACATAAAAATACGACTTAAAAATACAAAAAAATATTTTTATTGGTTAGATTTAACAAATGTTGTTTCACAGTTTTTTTAAACGCTTTAATGTGTGTAAAAATACGACTTAAAAATACAAAAAAATATTTTTATTGGTTAGATTTAACAAATGTTGTTTCACAGTTTTATATATATATATATATATATATATATATATATATATATATATATATATATATATATATATATATATATATATATATATATATATATATATACATATATATATATATATATATATATATATATATATATATATATATATATATATATATATATATATATATATATATATATATATATATATATATGTATATATGTATATATATATATATATATTTATAGCACTTAGTTTAAAATCCAACATGTTTTAGTACTGTTAGAATTGAATCATGAAAAAAGAGATCTTCTAATTAGTATATCATTCAGGTATAAGATTCTTTTGCATTAAACTTCTGGGTTCTCATTTCAGAGTCCCTAAGAGTTGTGACGTTAGTGCGAGGGTAATTTTAAGAAATTAAAAATGCCCGCCATAAAATAACAAAAACAAGAGTCTTCATAGAACGTAATATTTAAATAAAGTACATTACTAATAAAGTGAACACTATGTGTTTACCCAAATAAAGTAACTGTGCTACCCCTAAGCATTGTTTGATTGTCCCAAAATTTTACAACAACAGTTTTTGAATAATTATGCATCTCACATAAAAAGCTTAGCTCAAAATTAAAAAAAAAATGTTACATCAGGACATTCTAATGCCGTATATTGGTAGTTTTTTGTTTCTTACTATTTTATACTACATCCCGTAGTGATTAAAAACCATTAGTCTTTTAAAATACATTAGTGTGAAAAATGCTACTGGCTGGGAACTTTTGTACTTCCCCCACGCTCATTTGAGAGAAGTCTTTTTCAAATTTAAGGGGATTATTTTAATTTTAATTTTATTATATAATTATGATCTATAGTATTTATTTATAATATACATTTGTTTTCTAATAGGTATTGTAGCTCCACCAAGAAGAAACTCGTATAAGGTATTTAATAATATATTAAATGGGAAGTCATCTGAGAAAACCTTTTTGAAATTTTTTTTATTTCATTTAGATGAAAACAAATTTTTCGACTGATAAAATTCTTTTTGATGAGAAGGGTAAATTAAATAGTTTGCCAAATGTGAATCAAATTGAAATTTCAGAGTCGCTATATGTTGCATCTACTCATATTAAAGAGTTTGGGGAAAAGAAAATTGACATATTTGAAGGTGCGCCTGTTGTGGTACTTGAAAAGTTACCTAGTGGATGGTGGTACATTGATGTAGGTGGTGTAGGAGGATGGGTGCTTTCTAAAATGATTACTCGAGCGAGTGTAAAAAAGTGGGCACTATCTAGTTATATAAGTAATGTACATTCCAGTTATAATGATATTAAAGATACGTCTAAGGACTTAGATTTTGTGACCAGTTGCACTCAAAATTTATCAAAGCTTCCAAAGAAGTTTCAACCTCCTGAGGGAGATTTTAAACCACCAAAAAAATTTCATTGCATGTTGCCACCACATGTGTCACGACCAAACCTCAATACTAAATCGTTTCCCAAAACATCAACTGGTATTGCTTCTCAATGTTTTAATCAACAAAATAACAATAAAGGTACACCTTTTTTAAGGGAAAAACCCGCTGTACCAAAAAAACCATTGACTAAACTATCAGAAACCGAATCAAAAACAAGTTTGAATTCACCGACATGTACTGAATCTAAGATTTCCACCGCTTTTGCTAGCCTAATTGTTCCGAATTTTAAAGAATCAAAAATGCAGGCTATTTCAACAATAAAACCAACTATGCCAGTAGAAGAAGGTTATATTGATATAGAAAAGTATCAACATAAATATGAAGAAGCCATTCAAAAAATTAGTCCAATGAAGCCAGCAAAAAAAGGTTATATTGATTTAGAAAACTATCAACACAAATATGAAGAAAACATAATTCCAACAAAAAGACATAATGAGCCAGCTAACGATGCTTATATTTATATAGAAAATGCTCAACACAAATATGACGAAATAGTAAATTTCCCACAATTAAAATGATCCGGACTTGATGTAGTTAGTATTTCTACGCGTCCTACTAATCAAATATTTAAATAATTTGATTTCAATCACCTAAAGAAATTTACAAAGCGATTAGAAGTTACGAAGATACAAATGAAAGTATAATAAACTTAAAGGTGGGCCAGCTAGTACGTATTTTAAAAAAGGATAATGGAGGTTGGCGGTATGCCGAAGTTGATAATGTTTCTGTCTGAGTACCATCTAACTTTTTAAAATTAAATAATTAAAGAATGGTTTTTAAATTTATTTTTTTATACAAACTGTATTAAGTTTCTAGTCACTATTTTTAATTATTTAATTGTATGTTTCTAATTTTACATTATTTAATATCCAATATTTCTTTTTATTTCTTTTTATTTAAGTTTTTTTCTGTTTATTTTTAAGTTAGTGCACAGCGGCCCAGAATACTCAATTTTAAGACAAAATCAATAACTAATTTAATATTAGTACTGTATACACCAAGTTTAGCAATAGTACCAAAATGAAATCTGCAATTCTTATGAAAGTGATAATTTTGCATAGCAACAACAAATTTTTGATTTTAGAGATTTTTTATTAGTGCTGCATATACCAAAATTTGACATGAGTACAAATATGATGTCTTGGTTTCTTTAAAAACTGATATTTTTTTACATTAAGTTGCTATGAATACCTAATTTTGCATAGCAAAAATCTGTTTCTGATAGAGATTTTTATTCAAAAGATCATACTTTCTCAGATTTAAATTTTATTTTATACGCAATATACAATAGCATACTTATACATTTGAACAGCTGTGGCACAGTGGTAGCGTACTTGCATCAGAAACAAAAGATCTGTAGTTCAAACCGCACCTCTGTTATGCGATATCGGTTTGGAAGGAGGCGTGAAATCCAATTAAATGCTTAGTACTTGAGGCTGAGGTCCATGTACTTGGTTTTTTGTGGAAGTCCGAACCTGTATTAATATCCGGACTTGTAGTACTGTTATCTTCCTCTGAGTTTTCGTCCTCATCCCTGCCAATTTTCACACTCACGGAAGCAACAGTTTCAAACTGCGATTCTCGTCGTTATCGTTCTTTTACACCCCTGGTGTCGTCGTTTTTCTTACTTGATTCTTTCTGCTGTTGTTTTCTTGTAGCCTCTTAATTCACTGTACTACTTATGATCATCTTTCGAATAGATCGCTGATCTTCGAGAAAATCTCTCTCCATCCTGGGAACATTCTCATTATCAACAACTTCAAACAAACCAGAAATTTCTTTGCGAAACTTAACTTTCTTATTTTTAAAGTAGTCTGAGAGATCATTGGGATTTGGACACTTTATGTTCTTATACCTTCTGACAGTTGGTATTCAGATTATACTTTGACGCATTTCATAAACTTTGAGACCACGGTCCTTAATCGTGTATAACTGTTGGTAAGGATGCACGTTTATAAACGCTTTCAACTTGTGACACAATAAACTCTGCAATAATAAAATTATCAGGTTCTTTTTTTCCAGAGGTTTCTATCATCCATTTTTGTTTCTCATACAAGAAGCTTCTAGCAATATCTAATTCTGTAGGAAGTACGCTTACAGGCAGTTCTGCCGGCTGACCAAAAGCAAGCTGATCTGTTGCTATTCGGGTAGATATTTTTGTTAAACATGTCATTATAATCTGTGAAAAAGAAAGAATATTAATATTAAAATGCGTACTATGAGAAAAACGTGGATCTAATAAAGATGTTAGTCATGAAATTATATCCTGCATCTTTTATTGTTCTTTAAAAATATTGAAATTTCTGCTTAATATTGTTCAATTTGTAATAAAGTGAAAAATATTGTAGTTTTTTGGGCCATTTTCCTGTTGCGCAAAGTCAGAAATTTCAAATCAATGGAGGAGGGTCAAGATATGAACCGATTTTGATGAATTTTGGAATATAGCTATGTGTACTCCATTGAAGTAAATTAACAACTTTAAAGCGGACATTTTCAAAAAAAAGTTTTTTATGAACCGCCTTATTCTTCATCAATCAATGTAGATTTACCCAGACAGCAAGCTTACATTGGACCAACGTTGGGCCAATGCATGATGATGCATTGGCCCAACGTTGAAAGTCGATGTTGGCCCAATGCAGGTTTGATCATTGGTTAGGTATTTGCCCAATGTTGTGTACAACATTGGCCCAATGTTGTATACGTTTACCCAACATTGGCCCAATGCTGCATATAACGTTAGGCCAACGTTGTATACAACATTGGCCCAACGTTGTATACAACATTGACCCAACGTTGTATACAAAATTGGCTTAACGTTGTATACAACATTGGCCCAATATCGTATGTTATATATCAGCCTAACGTTTTATGCAACATTAGATCGTTGTTACAAATAAGATGATTTGCATCGCTACATTGAAAATTTATAGAGAAAAAAAAAATGCATGATACAAGTATAAACATTTATTTATTTAACATAATTTATCGGTTAAATATACATATTGCAAACACCAAACTTAAACCAAAAATTGAGTTTTAAATAAAAAAATTCACTTTAAAATTTATAAAGTAGTTTCGATATTGGCTGAGCTACTTGTTATTGAATAGTGTTTAGCTTATGATATTTGGTGCCCATGATTATTATTTTTTCTTCCTCTTTCTCTATCACATGTCTGCATAAGCCATGCTTATTTGACTTCACAGTTTCTGCAAAAAAAAATAGTTGTTTGTTTAATTATGCACCAAAAAAACATAACAAATTGAAAGTAATTCTGTAATGCAAAATTGAAACTGAAAAAATAAACTTTTCTAAACCACTTACCAATAGCAGCATATGCAATCAACATTTTTTCCATTCGAATTTTTTGTCCTCTCCCTGCATAGTTTAATTTTACAACAAGGCCATTTTTAAAAATTATTCTTAGTAAATAATATATACAATCTCCTTCGTCTTTAACTCCGATTTGTGCCAAATAATTAATCTGCAAAAATACACAACCTGGCAATAATTAAAGTAACTTTTGTTTAGACTTAAATTAATATAAAATGTAATTTACAAAAAATCTTCATAGAGTATTTTATTTAAAGTATATAAATTGTACTAAGATATCACACAAAATGCATTAAAAAATTATAAAAAAATATTTATCATTTACTTACATATTTTCTTTTCTTCCAGAGTACTTGAATTCTTCACTGCAATGACACTCTTTCAGGCAATACAATAATTAGCATACCTTTGTTACTCAAATTTTTATAACTGAACTTGATGTGTTTTGTAGTTTACCAAGTTGTACTTCAATGACGACTAAGAATGAACACTAAGAAAAGCATAAGTTTCAGAAAAAATAAATGGGTAGCACCAAAAAAACATAATAGCTTAATTGAGCGTTGTATTTTGAAAATGTGACAAGTCACAAAATTAAAATTTTACAAGGGAGTGAAAAATATTTCTCCTGTAAAAAATTTTATATTTATTTTATCTAAAAATTGTTTCTTTTCTCTAAAAACAATCTTTATTTTATCTAAAACATTCTTTATTTTACCTAAAAAAATCTTTATTTTATCTTAATATTCTTTTAATTTAAGTGAGGTTATTTGAAAAGAATATTTTTTTGAAAATATTCTTTTCAAATAACCTCACTTTTAAAAAAAGTGTGACTCATCACGTTTTCAAAATACAGCGTTCATTTGTGAAACCAGTAACTTCTTAACTAGAATTACTGATTTTTCCATGACTATCTAAAGAAAAAAATAATTTCCTGACTTTTCCAGGTTTTCCACGACTTTAGCCAATATTAACAAATTTTACAGATTTTCAAGGTACAGTACGGACCTTGTCCAATGTTTGTAAATAATTTTTTTTACATATTTTAGTTCTGAATTTTAATAACACTATTTTTAAAAATAATATCAACTATAAAAATATTGTATCACCTTCGTCTATTAGATAAATTTAAATAAACGTTTATATAATGAATAATAATAAATCACCATCAACTGTTAAAACTATAAACTGATATGAATACTGATATAATACAAATACTGTTGTTTTTTTCAACATTTGATTTCAAATGGTTTTCTAAGTTGGTGACACCAACTTTGAAATCCAACAAGAAATTTTTGTTACGTTCATAATCTCAAATGTTCTCAAAACAACTAAAAAACCTGGCCAGTTTTTCACAACTAAATATATTTTCTGTGGTCAGTATTCGAGAACGATCGCTCCTGCTTCCTGACCAAGCCTGTGGTGTAAGCTTTGACATGTTGATTATTACACAATAAAATGTTAATTAACACTCTGGCTTTTTGACCATAATATATGAAAAAGTCTTTAAAATTGTAAAAGTTAAAGCTATGAATAAAGATTTTCAATCATCAGACATAAAGACTTTTATATAAAAACTTACCATTTAATAAATTTTGTTCATTCAACTTCTCAGAGCAAACATTGAACTTCTGTAAAGAGTTTCGAGTTACAGGTAAATCCCAAAGTTTAATAATATTTTTTGTTTTATTATAAGAAATTGAGGATAAATCATCTACACCAAGATATACACAATTTTTTGTCTCTTTGTCATATTCGCTGTCTTCCTTTTTTTTCTCCAGAGCAGAAGTTTAGCTTTCTGCTAAGTTTAATCTTGTATTGCTTTAAAAATATATAAATCAAATCATTAATAATTAAGTTATAACTAAAGTTAATGTGTAAGATTAAAGTTGTTAACTGTTTTACGCACACTAAATATATAAAATATCCAGAGATATTAAATTAAAAAATAATAAAACCAAGAATAATGTCCCTCTGCCTCAGAAAGATGGAATATATAAAGGGTTGTTTCGATTTAAATCATGACTTAAGTCAGACAAATAAAAATAATGATTTAAATTGAGTTTTTTTATTTTAATTGTTTTTAATGGTAATCCTACAGTTACGCGGCCTAAAATAATTTTATTTTTCCGCTTGTCAGTAGAGGCTTTACAAACAATAGGAATATAATTGAAATAATAAAGTGAAAAAAGATTGCTAGCCCATGCCAAACCCTCATTCGATGTAGCAGCACTTCCTTGTAGCAGCAGGCTATAAGATAGTTTATGTAGCAAAACCCCCTGGCACAACAAGCACAAAAATATAATTATTTTAGGCTGCATAACTGTAGCTTTACCGTTTTTAATGATTATTTATTGATTTAATCTCATAATTCAATTAATTATTATAGACTAGTCATTGGTCTTAAAATAAAATGTCTGGCAAAATTAGAAAGCCCCAGACAGCAAGCTTACATTGGACCAACGTTGGGCCAATACATAATGACGCATTGGCCCAACGTTGAAAGTTGATGTTGGCCCAATGCAGGTTTGATCATTGGTTAGGTATTGGCCCGACGTTGTGTACAACATTGGCCCAATGTTATATACAACGTTTATCCAATATTGGCCCGACGTTGTTTTTAACGTTAGGCCAATGTTATATTCAACATTGGACCAATATTGTATACAAAAATATATCGGCCTAACGTTTATATTGGGCCAATGTATACAACAAGATATCGGCCTAACGTTTTATGCAACATTAGATCGTTGTTATAAATAAGATGATTTGGATCGCTACATTGAAAATTTATAGAGAAAAAAAAGAATGTATGATACAAGTATAAACATTTATTTATTTAACATAGTTTCTCGGTTATATATACATATTGCAAACACTAAACTTAAAACAAAAACTGACACATTGAGTTTTAAATGAAAAAATTCACAACAAAATTTATAGAGTAGTTTCGATATTGGCTGAGCTACTTGTTATTGAATCGTGTTTAGCTTATGATATTTGATGCCCACGATTATTATTTTTTCTTCCGTTATCTCTATCACATGTCTGCATAAGCCATGCTTATTTGATTTCACAGTTTCTGCAAAAAAAATTGTTGTATGTTTAATTACGCACCAAAGAAACATAACAAGTTGAAAGTAATTCTGTTATGCAAAAATGAAACTGAAAAAATAAACTTTTCTAAACCACTTACCAATAGCAACATATGCAATCAACATTTTTCCTATTCCAATTTTTTGTCCTCTCTCTGCATAGTTTAATTTTACAGCTAGGCCATTTTAAAAAACTATTCTTAGTAAATAACATATACAATCTCCTTCAACTTTAACTCCAATTTGTGACAAATAATTGACCTGCAAAAATACACAACCTGGCAATAATTAAAGTAACTTTTCTTTAGACTTAAATTAATATTTAATATAATGTCATTTACAAAAAATCTTCGAAGAGTATTTTATTTAAAGTATATAAATTGTACTGAGATATCATACAAAATGCATAAAAAGATCATAAAAAAATATTTACCATTTATTTAAGTATTTTCTTGTCTTTTTTTTTGAGAGTACTTGAATTCTTTACTGCTTTTAATGGCAATGACACTCTTTCAGGCAATACAATAATTAGTATACCTTTGTTACTTTTTTGTAAATTTTTATAACTGAATTTGATGTGTTTTGTAGTTCACCAAGTTGAACTTTAATGCTTGCCCATTGTGCCAATAATACCAGCATATCTTTCAAGGATACAACTTTATCTTGAAACAATAAAGTTAATTATATTATTATGAAACTATACAACTAATTACATATTATATTTAGAATTTATGATAGTAAATTCAACAATCACTAATAAAACAGATAAAATTAAAGACATAGGGGCAAATTTTTAATGATAAAAATATATACTTGCTAATGGATTCATTATATTTTTATGAATTTTGAAATTTGCAGGTGTTTATTCAATTTCTGGCACTGACACAAAACAATTCTCCTTAATGTTTAAGATACAGATTGCACTGTAAAACAAAAAAATTCATATTAAAACAATGTTTCTCCAACAGGGTTCGTAGCCAACTATTTATATAAAATTCAATGACTTTTTTAAAAAATCAGATGAATTTCCCTGACCATTTTTAACAATGGTTTTTACAAAATGTTTAAAATTACTATCTACTGTAATGGAAATGCTAAGATACATGCTTTGAATGACAAAACTTATAAAACTTAGCTATTAGTTAAATTGGATATTAGTATAAAGCTTATTATACATGTTAGTATGGATCTTATTATTAAGGATGACTAAGAATGAACACTAAGAAAAACATAGGTTTCAGAGAAAATAAATGGGTTGCACCAAAAAAAACATAGCTTATTTGAGTATTTTGAAAATGTGACAAGTCACAAAATTAAAATTTTACAAGAGAATGAAAAACATTTCTCCTGTAAAAAATTTTATTTTTAGTTTATCTAAAAATAGTTTCTTTCATCTAAAAAAATCTTTATTTTATCTTATAATTTTATCTTTTCCTAAAAAAAAATATTCTTTTCAGATAACCTCACTTTTAAAAAGTGTGACTTATTATGTTTTCAAAATACAGCATTCAATTGTGAAGCGAGTAGCTTCTTAACTAGAATTACTGATTTTTTTATGACTATCTAAAGAAATCATTCCCTGACTTTTCCAGGTTTTCCACGACTTTAGCCAATATTAACAAATTTTACAGATTTTCAAGGTACAGTACCGACCTTGTCCAATGTTTGTAAACAATTTTTTTTACATATTTTAGTTCTGAATTTTATTAATAAAATTTTTAAAAATAATATCATAAATAAAAATATTGTATTACCTTCGTCTATTAATAATGAACTACCAGCAACTATTAAAACTTTAAACTGATATGAATACTCTGTTGTTTTTTTTCAACAGTTGATTTCAAAGTTGGTGACACCAACTTTGAAATCCAAAAAAAAATTTTTGTTACGTTCATAAAATTAATTGTTCTCAAAACAACTAAAAAACCTGGCCAGTTTTTCGCAACAAAATATAATTTCCGTGGTCAGTATTCGAGACCAAGACTGTGGTGTAAGCTTTGATATGTTTGTTATCACACAATAAAATGCTAATTAACACTCTGACTTTTTGACTGTAATATATGAAAAAGTCTTTTAAATTGTAAAAGTTAAAGCTATGACAAAAGACTTTCAATCATCAGACATTTATATAAAAACTTAAGACTTTTATATAAAAACTTACCATTTAATAAATTTTGTTCATTCAACTTCTCAGAGCAAACATTGAAATTCTGTAAAGAGTTTGGAGTCACAGGTAAATCCTAATGTTTGATAATATTTTTTGTTTTATTATAAGAAATAGAGGATAAATCATCTACACCAAGATATACAGAATTTTTTGTCTATTTATTCTTTATTATAGCTGGTCATCCTTTTTTGCTGTCTTCTTTTTTTGTCTCCAGAGCAGAAGTTTAGCCTTCTGCTAAATTCAATCTTGTATTGCTTTAAAATCTATAAATCAAATCATTAATAATTAAGTTATAACTAAAGTTAATGTTGTTAAAGCTTAAAATTGTTATTTTTCATTATTAGTTGTACAAAAACTAATAATGAAAAATATCCAGAGATATTAAATTAAAAAATAATAAAACCAAGAATAATGTCCCTCTACCTCAGAAAGATGGAATATTAGAAAGCTCTACATAAGTAGAATATAAATTCTAGTAACATCACTTTTTGCACACTATTTGAATATGTTAGTAGATGGGGTTTCACAATCAAACTCAGAAAAAATCAAACAAAAGAGACATATTTAAAATGTAAAATATCAACTTTTAACAACATCAATGCCACATATATACTATTGATACCTTTAATAATATATCTTATAATAGCTATATAATCTAAACTATTATAAATAAATTATGAAAAAAAAACTTATACTGTATGACATTTCAAATGTTTGATTTAATTAATAAAGAAGACATTATAAAATGTCTTCTTTATTAAATAAATCGATCATTTGAAATGTTTCATTTATTTAATAAAGACTATTAAATAAATCAAACATTTGAAATGCCCATAATTACAAAATAACTTTAAGATCTTACACAAAAATAATTTACTTATTGCCTTTATTATTACATTAATAATTTAGATTGTAGTAAAAAATGTTTTAAGCATATAATTTTAATGTTAACAAATATTTCATTATTTAAAAAAACAAAACATTAAGTCACAAGAATCTCTTGAAGTTTATTTCTTATAAGAAACCTTTTAAGATTCTTAGAAGATCAATAAATATAGCTTCTTTTTTTTATTTTTATAATTTAAAAAAATGGAAAGATAATATCAAAACCTTTTTTTATTCTGTCAAACAATACCATTTTTTAAAATATGTTACGCAACAAAAGAATGTACTAATCCGCAACTACATTGGCCGAATATTGGCTACGGTGTGAATTTAAGAACAGATTTTTATAGCAAAATATTAAGCCTACATTAGCCAAATGTTGGAACGATAATTGCAAAACACCGATTTGTAGAATTGCAATATTACGCCGAAAAAAAAATATTGGCTAAATGTTGGCCCAACAAAATAAACTTGTCAATGTTAAAACTTACGTTGGGCCAATGTAAGCTTGCTGTCTGGGAAGTCAAAAATAAAGAATTTTCATTAGATAAATTACGAGAACAGCTTTGTAATATAGAATTTGCTTTATCAAACTCACAAGACAAAATAACTTCTCTCTGTAATTCTACTTTTACAAGTATGATTTACCAGATCTTGTAATGGAATAATCACTAACAAATCAGATCTTGTAGTCCATTTTTTCTGTTTCAAAATCTTATAGAATTCATTTTACTGGAAATTTTACTTAAAAGACTTTAAATCACTTATATATATATATATATATATATATATATATATATATATATATATATATATATATATATATATATATATATATATATATATATATATATATATATATATATATATATATATATATATATATATATATATATATATATAAGTATATATTTTATCATCGTCATCCATCAAAGAACTTTATGAATCAATGAACGCTGATCTTAAAAATCTCAACATCTGGTTCAAGGCAAATAAATTATCTTTAAATACGGAAAAAACCAAATATATCTTGTTTCATTCTAACCAGTAAAAAAATAATATACCACCAATCCTACCATCATTAAAAATAGATAACATATGCATTAAAAGAACTGAAAAAACTAACTTTCTTGGAATAATTATTGATCAGAAGATTTCCTGGAAGGCCCATACAAGTACAATAAATAACAAAATATCAAAAAGCATAGGTGTTTTTTATAAAACTAAGCCAATGCTCTCATAATCAAATCCTAAAATTCTCTACTTTTCTTATATTCAAAGTTATTTAAATTACGCTAACATTGCATGGGAAAGCACACATAAATCTAAATTAAATTTTCTATACGTGCATCAAAAACATGCATCCAGACTGGTCTATAATAAAAATAAATTTACTCATACCGATCCTTTACTAAAACCTTTAAACGCACTAAATACGTATAAAATTAATATATACCAAAATATTTTATTTATGTTGAAAAACAAGCTTGGACTAGTTCCAAATTATTTTTCTAATAACTTTTTTCAGATTAACGCTAATAAGTATACTACAAGAAGAATGGGAAAATTCACGTTGCCTATAAAAAAAAAAAAAAAAAATTCACAATATGCAATTGTATACCGTAGCCCTTTCCTATATAACAAAGTCATACTCCAAAATATAGAACTTAGTAATTCTGGTAATCTTTATACTTTGAAGAAAAACCTTAAACATCTCATAATTAACCCAACAAACTTTATCGATATGTTTTAAAGATATTTGACAAGAAAGTGAAAAAGAAAAAATAACAAAATCCGAAATTCTTATACAACACCAACTAATTTTAATATCTCAATATTTTTATGTATATTACTCTAGTAATGTCACTTAACAAGTTTGCTTTTTAATTTTTTACTTATTTTATGTCTCAAAGGTTCTCGATGACAAGACTTCTTTAAGTCTTCTGGGAGTTTCCTTACAACATCACAATTATTTCACCAAATTATTATCATAAATTTATTATCATAAAAAGTACATAAAACATACACTTTGTATTTAACACAGTGTGTTTGACAATATTTTTTTAACAATTTATATATGTATACATTTATCTTTGTTTTCTTTATGACTATATATTATGTCAAGAGAAGGAATTGTAACAATAATTTATAAAGTTGTAAAAAATCATGAAGAAAAAAGAAAATATATTTTGTCATTTATTGTAATTATTATAACCAGTTAAATAATTACAATAAATGACGTTTACAAATAAAATTTAAATCTTACCAGATATTTCAAAACATGAAATAACGTTTAACAACATAAAGAATATATATAAAACTAAATATTTCAAAATAAAACAATATATTCAGGAATCACACACTTTTTTAAAAGTATAAACTCAAAAGAACTCAAAGATATTATCAATTGACAAGATAACTTTTTTCAGCTTAATTTTAAAAGTTAGAAAACTCCAACTTTGGGAAAAATCAAAATTTTCAAAACTATTTTGTTCCACAGAAGAGCTCCGCGACATGTTAAAAGAGATCTTCCAAAACTTGTTTGAAAAAAATGTTGATGAATAAGACTGTCATTTCCTAAGTCATATTTGTTTTTTTGCATATAAATTTTGAAAGGATATAGGGGTTAGGTTTATCTTACATTTGTACATAAATAAAAGAACATTAAAAACATTTTGCTGGTATATATTAAAAACTTTCATTTCCAGTAAAAGAGGTCTGGCATGAGTATAACGATCTTTAAAGTTTATTAAACGTGCTATATGCTTCTGTTGCCGATATAGAGGATCTAATTGATTTTTTTTAGTGCCACCCCATGCAATATTTGCATAGCTTATATGGCATTGAAATAGCGAGAGATAAAGTTGAATTACTCAATGTCTATTTACTAAGTTTCTCGTTTTAAACATTACTCCAATATTTTTTGAAACTTTATTGCGCAAAATTTCGATATGGTTTTTCCAAGTTAGATTTTCACCAATGAAAACACCAAGGAAATGTATAACTTTTAATTTTTTTATTTGAACATTCACAATATATATTTGAGGCATATCATTTAATAAAATTTTTGGGATTTTGAATGAAATAAAGTCCATTTATTTTTTTCCAAGTTAATTGATAGTTTATTTGACTTAAACCAATTTGAAATTTTAATTAGTTCTATGTTGATTTCATTAAATAGTGTAATGATATTTTTACCGGATAGAAAAAGATTTGTATCATCAGCAAACATTACTGTCTTCAAGTTTGAGGCATTGTGCACATCATTAACATAAATGAGAAAAAAATAGTGGCCCTAGTATAGACACTTGGGGAACACCACATGTTATATCTAGTAAACTTGTTGAGGAGGATACGTCAATTTGCGCAAACTGTTTACGATTGCTTAGATAGCTTTATAGTAAATTTAATAAATTTCCGCTGATTCCATAGTTTTTAAGTTTTTGTATAAGAATCTCATGATCTACCGTATCAAAGACTTTTGATAGATCAATGAAAACTCCACGAGTAAACTGGGATTTATCAACAGAATCTGCAAGTAACAAGTTGATTGGTTGCATTTGCATTTGCATTACTTAACTTTTGCATTACTTAAAATAAATTTTTGTTATGATTGGTAATAAACTTTATCATTTTAATTGTTTGATGTGCAGTATGCTATAATTTAGTTGTTTAACTACGTTAGTAATAAATAAATTAATACATAAATCACTGCCGGCTATAGGTAAATTTTGTTTGAGTTTATTTCTTTGAGAATTTTATACAAATTTTGTTTTATATATATAATCGTTGTTTTCTTTATTACTGTAAACAGAGATTCGTTGCAAAAAAAACTAACAGTATAGTAGATTGAGTTAACATGCAAACCTTTTCAGCTAGCAAAATGCGTTGGGCTTTTTTTAGCGGAACAACGGTTCCAACGTTGGAACCGTTGTTCCGCTACCACATTTTGTTAGACTAACGTGGTGGACTAGCTGGAATCTCCGCAACACGTTTCGATGGTCTTTTTTTGCTAGTAACATAACTATATTTTTAAGATATCTTATCCTATTTTAAACAAATTAGGTTTAATGAGTTTAAACGGCTCGAACGCCTAACAAACTTATTAAACCCAATTTGTTCAACGCCATAACTTTGTAGTAAATTTGTTCAAAATTACTACAAAGTTATGAATCCAGAAGCTGTTCTAAAATATTTAATTTCAATTTTCGTACACGTATCAAGAATTGCCTGAATTACTTAAATAAGGTCGATTGTACATCTCTTAGCGTTGCAGTTTTCAGGAATCCGTGTATGTCGTCAATGATTATTTTTATATACATTTGTAGCGTCTTATTAAGTGTATTAACGTATTTATAGCGTTTAACGCATTTATAAACTAATAATTATATTAAAAGTAACAAAGTTTTTCTGGTAGAGTCTAAAGAACACCTTTACTAATACGAACCATCCTCTAAAAAAACCACGATTAGAGTTTTCATCAACTAATTTTTTTGTCGAACAACAAAAATGTTTTCGGCACTACAATAAAGTTCCTCTGCTTTCGCTTTCGGTTACTTAGAAACAATTGATGTTTATTTTAAATAAATTTGGTCTTGATTTAAAAAAAATCCAAAGCCTGGATTCGCTCGTTGTAAAAAGCAAACCTAGGCTTCGGGGTTTTTTTAAAATCAAAACCAAAAAATGAGTAAAAATTTTACGCGGTCATAACTTTTGAAAGTTAAAAGATTATAAAATGAAATATAAAATCCTTTGTTTAAATTAAATTTAGTATAATTAAATAATAAACAAAATTG